AACAGAAGGGCGTAGGAACTCAACCTCCCAATGCACTTATATCGTGGGTATTTCCTTTTCAACCATTTCCATTTTATCATTTGGAGGTGTTCCTTTTTTTTCCCCCTCCGTTGAGCCACTAACTGTTGTAATTCCGCTTGGGGTTCCCTTCGAATGTCCACTCCCAATTAAACAATGAGAAGAAGTGAATGTCCTGACTGGTTGGTATTGTTATCGGCGTTATGTCGATGTCCCTGTTGAGCTCATTATCTGGGACGATGAACATGTCTTGAGAGCTTCCGTCGCTTTCCTGCAGATGTTGGAAGGTTACGATTGAGAGGTGTGTGTAGAGGGAGAGTGTACAGGGAGAGTGTACAGAGAGAGTGCCGAAGAAGTGCGCCATCGCCACCGCATGCCAACATGGTGAAATATTCAATCCCTCGATGCTTAAACATCAACATGGAGGGGGGAAAACTCCCCATGTGAAAAACATACCGTTTCATTTTCCTCATTCTCCGTCGTAAGGTCAATGGTCTCAAACTTCTCGTAGTAATCCTCATTGGTGTCATTCTCATATTCCATGTCATCGTTGTAATAATAGGGAAGCAAATTGAGGTTGTCCTGAAATACAAACGCCGGTGGTGGTGTAGGTCTGTGTGGGGAACACACATTTGGGGGCCTATGCACATGAAAACAAATGCGTTCCATAATGAGCAAGGCCATCTAGCGAAACGTGCGACAAAACCACGGTCTTAAAAATAAGGGGTAGAAATGAAAAACAAATAATAAACAAAAAATAATAAATAATAAATAATAAACAATAAATAATAAACAATAAATAATAAATAATAAACAATAAATAATAAATAATAAACAATAAATAATAAACAATAAATAATAAACAATAAATAATAAACAATAAATAATAAACAATAAATAATAAACAATAAATAATAAACAAATAATAGATAACAAAATTAATTTATTACGTCTAAAACTTTATGCACCAGGAGGGACATGTATGGCCTGGTCCACGAATTGTCGTAAAAGTAAAAGCTCCTGATGTAGTCCGAGTTCTTCAGCTTAGAATAAAAATCGTTGTCTTCCCAAAGCTTGGATCTCACTCCCTTTTCATTCTGCATGTGAATCATCGGAAAAAAAAGAAAAAGATAATGTGAAGGAATTCTTCCAACTTCGTGGTAAAACCCCCGTGGCAATAAATCCACATAAGCATATTCGCAAATTTCTTCACCTGTATGATTAACTTGCTTCCATCAATACTGTCAACCGAAGGGATTTCTTCAAAGAATTCCTTATTGTCCACTGCGTGGTTCAGTTTAGGAGGCAGGTGCGAAATGTGTAGTGGCATTAAGGCATGAAGAAAAAAATTAAATGTAAAATAAAATAAAAAAACACTTGTAAAAATGTTCAGGGGGATTATTAAAAACTGGCACACGTTCTCACGTATGCATCTACGGATCTATGCGAAACTCCGAGTGCATATTTATAGTGCTAAACGCGCCTCGTCCTTAACACACCGTATACTTTGAAGTAATCCAGAACTGTTCTTTTGTGACTTCCGCATATCTGCTCGTAGTCGGCGAGAAGTTTTTGCTTATCTGCGTAGAGGGGCAGATTCAGAAAGAGATATGACGGGTATGGTGTCAATGTGGTAAATAAGCAAAGAGGGGAACGCATACGGCTGTACGTTTATACATGGGGTGGAGGAGCGCAGTGCTGTTCGAACTCTCTCCCTCCCTTATTTTTTTTTCCTTTCATTTCTCTTATCGTTGCTCCCTCTTTATGTCATACTGAAATCGCAACTAGCCTTAAATATACGACTCGACTCTTTGGCGCCCTTTCGGTTGCACGTGACTGAAAATGGGGGGAAGAGGAAGAATGTGGGTATGTACACATTGGTGAGGACCATGCGCAACTTGGCAAATTCGAAGGGAAGTACTCCAGAACGAGCATCGACGCATCCGCGGAGAGTTATTCGCCGATATGCCCTCTCAGAACAATCTCGCGCGTTCATACAGATGGGTAGCTGGTTTTGGACTTCCAGCAGTTTGTCCCGCAGGGCCTCGTTAAAACTGATGATATTGACAAGTGGGTATTTAATGATTTGTTCTGAGTTTTCATTCGCATTGGAAGCATTTACTGCCTGACTTTTTTTCATTGTCAACCATGACAGTATTAAGTTCTGCTGTTTGGGGTTTTTCTCTTCAATCTTATTCTGTGCTACAATGCCATCCAATTTGGTAATAGTTGCCGCTTTTTTTTCTTCCACACATTTCGCGTCTTCCGT